CTTGTGTCGACTCTTGTTGCAACAAGCAGGCAAGGATCACAAGGACAAGGTTCACTCTTGAAGCACTTTGGGATCAGCGATGAGGCGTCAGAGAACACATCCAAAATCCACGAAACATGCAACCGACATGCCGCCCCGTTCTGTGCCACCACCGAAAGAAGCCATCACGACGGCCACAACTCAGCCGTGCAACCAAGGTCCCCGACACATAACCGTCTAAACCAGAAACAACCAAGTCGCGATCTGACTCTCAAGACTGAAGTCAAGGACAGTTTTGAGAGCCAATTAACCATCAGTCACAACACATGTCCGACCCACTCGCCGGATCACGTCAGAACTATTCAGCAATAGCCAACAACTCAACACCGGATCTAGTGCTTCGAAACAATGAGAAAGCAAGGCCTGACCCAAGATAGAAACCACCTCGCCTGCGAGCCCTGCCCCTGCGTGTACTTGCTGCTATAGTCGCCACCATAGGACTGCACATACTGCTTGAAATCTCCGCCCTGCGAGCCGTGCCCCTGAGTATACTTGGAATAGTCCAGGTACTGCTTGTAGTCACCACCCTGCAAGCAAGCTTGGGGCAAGGGCCGTAGCACAGCAGTCGGAACGGGTGGATGGACATCTCGGCAACGCAATACACTTACACTTGGGTTAACGCTGACGCTTCACAGAGCTTTAGTCAGATTTTGAGCCTAGAACTACGACATGTACGGTCGTCCGTGATCGGGCGGACTCCAGCCCGAGCGACAACATTGGCCTAGAATTAGAACCTAATGTCATAAGCAGGGTACATGTGAAGGGCTCCTTGTGTCGACTCTTGTTGCAACAAGCAGGCAAGGATCACAAGGACAAGGCTCACTCTTGAAGCACATTGCGATCAGCGATGAGGTGTCAGAGAACACATCCAAAATCCACGAAACATGCAACCGACATGCCGCCCCATTCTGTGCCACCACCGAAAGAAGCCATCACGACAGCCACAACTCAGCCGTGCAACCCAGGTCCCCGACACATAACCGTCTAAACCCGAAACAACTGAGTCGCGATCTGACTCTCAAGACTGAAGTCAAGGACAGTTTCGAGAGCCAATTAACCATCAGTCACAACACATGTCCGACCCATTCGCCGGATCACGTCAGAACTATTCGGCAATAGCCAACAACTCAACACCGGATCTAGTGCTTCGAAACAATGAGAAAGTAAGGCCTGACCCAAGATAGAAACCACCTCGCCTGCGAGCCCTGCCCCTGCGTGTACTTGCTGCTATAGTCGCCACCATAGGACTGCATATACTGCTTGAAATCTCCGCCCTGCGAGCCGTGCCCCTGAGTATACTTGGAATAGTCCAGGTACTGTTTGTAGTCACCACCCTGCAAGCAAGCTTGGGGCAAGGGCCGTAGCACAACAGTCGTGCTTTCGAGGAACGGGTGGATGGACGTCTCGGCAACGCAATACACTTACACTTGGGTTACCACTGACGCTTCACAGAGCTTTAGTCAGATTTTGAGCCTAGAACTACGACATGTATGGTCGTCCGTGATCGGGCGGACTCCAGCCCGAGCGACAACATTGGCCTTTAATTCGAACCTAATGTCATAAGCAGGGTACATGTGAAGGGCTACTTGTATCGACTCTTGTTGCAACAAGCAGGCAAGGATCACAAGGACAAGGTTCACTCTTGAAGCACATTGCGATCAGCGATGAGGCGTCAGAGAACACATCCAAAATCCACGAAACATGCAACCGACATGCCGCCCCAATCTGTGCCATCACCAGGACAGTTTTGAGAGCCAATTAACCATCAGTCACAACACATGTCCGACCCACTCGCCGGATCACCTCAGAACTATTCAGCAATAGCCAACAACTCAACACCGGATCTAGTGCTTCGAAACAATGAGAAAGTAAGGCCTGACCCAAGATAGAAACCACCTCGCCTGCGAGCCCTGCCCCTGCGTGTACTTGCTGCTATAGTCGCCACCATAGGACTGCATATACTGCTTGAAATCTCCGCCCTGCGAGCCGTGCCCCTGAGTATACTTGGAATAGTCCAGGAACTTCTTGTAGTCACCACCCTGCAAGCAAGCTTGGGGCAAGGGCCGTAGCACAACAGTCGTGCTTTCGAGGAACGGGTGGATGGACATGCCGGCAATGCAATACACTTACACTTTGGTTACCGCTGACGCCTCACAGCGCCTTAGTCAGATTTTGAGCCTAGAACTACGACATGTATGGTCGTCCGTGATCGGGCGGACTCCAGCCCGAGCGACAACATTGGCCTAGAATTAGAACCTAATGTCATAAGCAGGGTACATGTGAAGGGCTCCTTGTGTCGACTCTTGTTGCAACAAGCAGGCAAGGATCACAAGGACAAGGTTCACTCTTGAAGCACTTTGGGATCAGCGATGAGGCGTCAGAGAACACATCCAAAATCCACGAAACATGCAACCGACATGCCGCCCCATTCTGTGCCACCACCGAAAGAAGCCATCACGAAAGCCACAACTCAGCCGTGCAACCAAGGTCCCCGACACAAACCGTCTAAACCCGAAACAACCAAGTCGCGATCTGACTCTCAAGACTGAAGTCAAGGACAGTTTTGAGAGCCAATTAGCCATCCGTCACCACACATGTCCGACCCTAATCCACTCGCCCGATCACGTAAGAACTAATCAGTAGTAGCCGCATCCTTCACAAGCGCCTCATTCCCCGTGCGCTCCAACTCTCCATGTCCATGCTTTGGAACTACCTTGCCTGCGAGCCCTGGGAGCCGTGGCCCTGCGTGTACTTGGAATAATCCATGTACTTCTCGAAGCCAGGTCCGTTCTGAGAACCGCTTGGCGAGTCCTTCTTAGACTTGGCAGCGCTGGAGCTTCCATCCTCCTCAGCTGCCGCGAAGTTTAACGGCTTCCCGGCGTCTTCGGAAGACTCGTCGGCAGACCCGGACGGCATGTACTTGCTGGCGTAGTCGCCGGCATACTTCGACATGAACTTCTCATACCCTCCGGCGGCACCGGAGCCGTATTGCGACATGTACTTCTTGTAGTACTGCTGGTAACCAGAGCCGCCAGAGCCACCGCTGGATCCGGCCTGCATGTAGTGTTGGTAAGGCGCGGCATACTGGCTCATGTAGTCTCCACCTTGGGCTGACGACAGGAGAGGGAACACAAGCCCCAACATCGACCGCACCGCCATGGCTCTGGGAGATAAGGCCGGGTGCGAACTTGAGCTCTTGAGCCTTTTCTTCAGAGGCACTTAGACCTAGCCGCCTAGCCTTCTTACCCTTTTCCACAGGCTTGAACTGAGCTCGCCCGGCCTTCTTACCCTACAATCGAAGCCCAAGTGCGTCCTCATCAATGCTTACCGGAACTCCGGAACACAAGCAGTGTAAACCCTCATCATGTCATATGCAGTACCTTCGCTAATTTCTGCCAACTTGACTATATCCGATTGGTATTCAGGGCCATCGCCTTTTCCAGCTTCCCCTCGGCCATCGCCTTTCCGAGCTTCCCCTCGTCCTCCAAAGCTCGCCGCAGCATCCCCGTCCGGGCCCGAGGGCCACGAGCCTGGGCACAGGCCCCCCCCCGAGTCCCTGAGGGCTTTTTCTGACCATTCCTTGCCCAGAGACTCGGAGCACGCCCACCGCGACCAGGGAGGCACCGGCCGCGGTCAAGGGCACGGCCAGGGAGCCTCCTCGGATTTGTCTTATATCACGGTTTCTCCCCGAACGTGCCTGAAGCAGAGCCGCCTTGAACCTGCGAAGACCGTGCTGACCTTCGTAGGGCTGGCGCCTCGATGGAAGTCGAGGCTTGGACTTCGCCACCAAAGTCTTTGCAGGGCGCTCAACTCTAGGGCCTTGGAGTTGGGGTTTCGGCGCTCGCACTCGGACAATCCAGGCGATGCGGATGACAAGTGGATTTGGTAACTAGGATTTAGGACCTGATTACAAAGGAAAGGGTGCCCACTGGTCGATGGAAGACCATGCTAAATGGAGCACGAATTCCGCTTTTGCGCTGAAGGCACCCACTCAGCCGTCCCGAAATTTCCAATCTTGCCCCGCTGCACCTCGTGTCTATCACTAAGATGTGGAAGACGTTGGAGGCAGAAGCTGACAGGCCAAAGAAAGCTCAAACCTTCTTTGACGCTGTCTGTCGTCCTGCAAGAACATGACATCAACGAGAAGAAAAGTCATCCCTGCAAACTTAAATGCTCTCTCGCACGTCTGTCCGTCCTGACTGCGACAGAACACATGAGGAGGACACTGGCTCCGGCAGCCACCAGAGCAGCCTCAGGCGATTATTTGGCACAACATCCAACTGCGGCTAAGGCCGCGCAGCTGTGCACTGACCGGTGGCACGATCAGCTCGGACCCGCACGCTTCCGAGGCGCATCTTGCCTAAGCCTGCAGCTCAGTTCTGCGAGCTTCCGCATGAGTCGTGTTAGATTCACCGTCTGCATGCTTGCACAAACCTCTCTGCCCCCCTCCCCCCCAATTCTGCATGGGGCTGCCGCCTTGCCGCGGAGCCATCGCCGCTCTGGCTCAGCTGCAAAGGTCTGTGTTTCACTGATGCCAAAAGGCAAGTTTCCACTGATTTTGGGGGGAAAGTCTCAAGCTATCGCAAGCTTGGCTTCAGATCTTTCTGCTCCTGCAACGTGGTGTGGCAATGGGTTATCTTCGTTCCTGTCATAAGCCAAATGTTCGAGACAGCACTCCAAAGACACGTCAATCGAGCACGATGCCGAGACATTTCGAATTAGCCGAATGCGTACGTTGCTTCCATGCTGGTTGTAGAACCCATGCTGCGAGCTGTGTCTTCCAGACGGCAACGACAGGGTCTATGTCACCTTGCCGGGAGCTCTTGAAACAGCCTCCCTGCAGGGGTGAGATGAGTCACAGGTCGCGCTGCCTGTCTTTCGGTTGTTTTCGGCTGACAGCTCCACGGCTGCAGGTCTACAGGAGCAGCTCAGACTTTGCGCGCTGCTTCTTGGGCTGAGCTTCCTGGCCGGATCGACGCTCCAGGTGAGGTGGGTTTCCATGATTCTGTGAGGTTTGTGGCTTCTGCCGGCGCATCAGGAAGTGGAGCGCATGCAGTGGACTGCGGAAGTCCTTTACACAACCCTGCTGGACCTCTGCGTAAACGTGCATAATGTGTGAAGAAGTCGTGGAACCAGTGACAGTCCCAAGGATGTGATAGGCTTCTGCCTGCAATTCGATCAGATATTCCGATATATTTCCAGGTTTGTACATTCACACGGCCGCCCTGGTCTCGGAGCTATAAATGGAGCTTAGGACCGCAATAATGTCAAGGCCACCCACCCTCGCCACAGCGACCAAACATCGAGATCCATGAGGTCCGTTGTATGCTGAAGCCAGAGGATTCCACGGCTCTGCGAGAAAATATCTTCGCAAGAGATTTCGATGAAGCTTCAGCAGCACAAGCAAGTGGATCGACGGCTCAACCCAAACTCAAAACAAAACTTAATTTTTAATGGCATTAAATGAACTTCTTAATTAATGACAAAGCCCGCACAAAGGCTTTGGCCTTGGCTTTCTTGGCCAAGCGCTGCGCCATCTCCTCACAACCAGGCAACGTATGATGAAGTCCCAGAGAAAGAACTAGGAAAGTCTCCTGGGTCGTCTCTGCGGCATCCTTTTCCTTCCGTTTCTTGGCTTTGGCAGGCGCTGGCGGCTCGAACTCCTCACCCCATGCCCCATGACTTCTGGAAGGGTGCAAGCTGAGACTGTGAAACTGATAGTTCAGACTCGGTGAGCTACTGTTAAGTGACGCAGTGAGAGTTCCACTGCCCCAACACAGCCGCAACACTTTCCCCATACTGTCGACGACAGCTTTCCCGGTTCCCAACCAAAGCGTCTACATGCCGTCAGAGACGATTCTGCCGAGCGCGGACCTTGGCGCGTTCTCGTCGCTTTTCTGCGCTCTTCGCCTGCTGCGCCTCAGGCAGGCGAAGAAACTTCGTGGCTCATAACATCGGCGGGGAGTTGGTGTTACACTCCCAGCCCCGGAGTGCCAGGCGGCCACGACGACTATACCGACTATACCTCAAGTATGTTCACCCTGGGCACAGGGCCAGATCACTATGTTCGAATTCCTCTGAGGCATGCAAGGAGGGTGCTGCTCCACTATGCATCATAACACGAAGCGACGAGCACATCGAAAAAACACTGCAAACTCTGGTGGCTCACCTCGCGCTTGGCAACTCTCTGACGGATTTGCTTCTCCTTTTCCTCGGATGGATGGCTTCGGGCGCATGGACGAGACTGGATGGTAGGTTCGACTGCGGCCAATACAGCGATGCTGACCTTACTCTATACTGCCAGGGCTCATTAAGGAAGTATTCGCCAGACTCCATCTGCAGATCCTGCGCATCAAGAGCCGGCGGTGCCGCGAACCGACTGCTGAATGATGCACCATCCGGTCCTCCTTTCTGGGCGTAGGCTGTGGAGGGAAGACGTCTTTGCTCTTCTTCTTGGCCTATACCATACAGATGAAGTCACCACATCAGCGCAGCCTGGAGCTCTGACTGCCTTTTTGTCTTTCATCTTCTTTCTCTGCACGTTGCGGTTCTTGAAATGTGGCAAGAATCGGTCCCAATTCTCGTTCTGCAGCTCCGGGTCCTGCACTGCACTCCAAAACACGCAGAGGGCCAGAGCTGGGCCGCTCCTTCTCCAGCTCCCGGCGTATCATCAACTCTTTGATGTGATAGATCCTTAGACTCCAAGGGACTTTTCCGACAAGACGCTTCGTCCCGAAACCCACAATGGCGGGGAGCGGGTGGATGTTGCGAAAGCAGTCTTCCACGATGCGTCGAACCTTCCCCCATGCCCCACTTCCATCATTTACTTGAAAAGGAATTCCTATCGAGATCATGACCACCGGCATGCGTTCTTTTGCCGGCCTGCTTGATGCCCTTCACGGATCCCATGATAGAGACCGTCTGCCCCTGAACCAGCACGAAGCACTGCGTCAGCAGCTCAATGGCCTCACTTGTTCAACAAGCTTTTGACTCCGTCTCACTCACCAAACACTGGCCACTTACGTGAGGACAAACGTCTACGGTATGCGCGCTTGAGAAGCTTCCTCGTTGACTGGTCCCTTTGACTCACCACACGCTGGCCACTTACGTGAGAATGTGTAAGGGCTCGAAACCCAACGTGTTCACGACGATCTCAACCATGTGCAAACATGACGACTTGCGCACACAGCTAACTTCAGGAGGTAAGTTGCCTCATTGTGCATTACTATTTGCGCTACAACTGCTTTAATTGGCTGCCTGGGCTGCACGGCAAGGAGGACAACCCGGTCAACTCAGTAAACTGGTCTGTCGGCCTTATCCTAGCGGTTCTAGCATACACGACAACGACGACCACAACCACCACAACCACAGCAACCGCCACAATCCAGAACACAAGAAAGCGCAAAGAAAGCAACCTGAACCAGTGAACTATTTTCTTGAAGTCGCTTACGCATATGGCCCAGGCCTTCAGTGTGGAACCGTTTGGTCCGACCAAGCGTTGCCTTCGCTTCACGAAGCGCTCCTTGGAGCGAAGGAGACCTCATCAGCTGTCCGGCTGGCTCACAAAGGCGTTTCTACTGCTTCTACATCATTCTGACCCACAATAACACGATTACCCTCTCCCCTCACAATTCTGACTTTAAGTTTGGCGGTACGATAAAACTAACATAAAAACGACCGGAGCCGTTCACCTCGTTGGCCACTGTTCAGAAGCGCTAGCCGGCTGTAAACGAGTCCGTCCTGAAAGCTGAGATGGCATGCTTTCTGAGCACGAGTTCTTTCGGGCCAGTCTTTGATATTGCCCCTCGAAGGGAGGATCAAGAGAATCTGATTACATGACGGACTCGGCAGACCAACACAACCACGACGTACGACAACCCTTTGCCCCTGCATGGTACTAGAAATCCGACCCCTCCATGCGCCACGGGCACAAACACGGCACTGGTGGGTGGCACATCACCAAAACCCACAGCATGCACCAATCATGCCAGAACCGCTTTGCACAGTACCTCCCTAGCACGACTCAACGCTTCTTCTGAAAACTTGTGGTGAGCAAATTCCAGCAAGCTGCCGCCGATTTTGAGAATGTCGCAGTAGACCTGCGAGAAGCGAGTGGTCAGCAGCCTTTTCGGCTGATCCCATGTCGCATGTGTCTCTGTGTTGTCCTGGTGTCGAGGGCGCCTCATCGTCCAAGATCTTCTGCGCTTGTGGCAGCGGCACACTGCGAGCGAGGAGTTTGATCATGTCCCGAGCCTGTGCGAGCTGTGGTCCACCCGCTCACTGATGGAAAGCACGCGGCAAGTTTGATACACAGGGTCTGAATCTGGGAATCTGAATCTGTGACCCTTGAAGAACTCAGGCAGCCCTCGAATTGAGCAAGAAGCACGTGAGGCTGTACAGCTTGAGTTGAGTACCTTGATGATGATGTACGGATCCCACGTCTTCTTTGTGGTTCTCACAGTCATGGAGCCCTCGACCAGATTCAGATCTGCTGCGAGCTCGTGCCTCGGCGCATGCCCCAAATTTATAACACTTTTTCTGCGGGAAAGATTGCAGCCGCGTGGCTCTGCGAGCACCTTCCGAACATCAGGCCAGACCTGCCTTTCAAGCAGTGAGAAGCATGTGGGGAAGCTCTGTAAGATTCTTGGATGCAGCTTAGGTGCTTCAGGTACTGCTCTCTGTACTGTGGAAACAGCGTGGCAAAGGAGCTCTCCTCGAGAAGCAAGCCACCAGAAGGCGCATCCTCCTTCGCGATGGACCTCTCGGGCTCTGGAACATCGACATGTGGACGCATGTGGACACATGTGGACACATGAGCCACCGCGTGCCGGCCAAGCCAAGGCACACCGGCTTCCAGTGGTCGATCCCCTCGTGATCCCACGGCTTATCTTTCCGATATTTTCCTTTCTTGTTCCCAGGCTCCGCCTCCGTCGCGCCTCAACAGTCCATAAAACGATGGCACTAAGCTCACTGCTCTGCACAGCCCGACATTGCTTCCGAGGCTCCCTTCTCCTCGGCCTCGCCCTGAACCTCCGCGGCAGACCTTGAGCAAAACGGGCTCTGTCAGGACACTTCGGGCCCCGAGAGAAACCGAGTCCGGCGACTCTTTGCTCTTGCGCTTCCTGAGCTGTCCCAGCGGTCTTGCCTGTAAGCCTTGGCAGCCTGAACTCTGCATTTAGAGGAGGCTCTTTGCCATGTCCAGCCCAGTGTAGGGGCTAGGGGTCTAGCATGGCATTGGCCATAAGGAAGTGACCGTGTTGATCCTGTGGTGTAGTTACCTCCTCATCTCAGAGGCAGCATTCTGTCCTGAAGCGAAGTTGTTCGAATGGTCACTCAGCGGACTCAGAGGTCTTCAAAAGTCACGCCGTACCCTTCATTCCATGCTGTGCATGTCTCGTGTCTGAGTTCTTCGAAGAACCAAAGATTGCCGCAGAAAGACAGACGTATCAGTGCAGGCTGAGCAGGCTGAGTAGGCGTCAGGCATATTCTGGCATCTTCGGACCTTTTCGGAAGCCTGGGTTTTCAGCTTCAGCTTCGGGTCGCTTCTGGTGCTGCAGCTTTTTTGCTGCGGCCTTTGGCCTTCGACTTTTTTGAACCTGTTGGGGTTCCATGGCTACCGCTTCTGGGCAGCCCAGCGACTGACTTGTGCAGTGTCCTTGACTCGAGGGCCAAACCAACAGACTGGTTTAGCTGTTCGTTTAGCTCGGCATCCAGTGCATCAAACTTGTCCTCCCGCAACCGCACAGCTGTAGCTTCGTCGCTTTCCACGGCTGATTCGTCGCTTTCCAGGGTTTCAGGCGGAGGGGCTGTCGGCTTCACCGATGGGGCTGCTGTGGGAGGCGGGGCTGGGGCTGGAAGCTCAATGTGCCGAAGGATTTCCGACACAGTGTCCAGGTTCGTGGCCGCTGCCTCCCTCCTGCCCAGCACTTGGGGTGGAATCCGATCCTCGGCTGTGGCCTCCTCTGTTGCTCGAGGCTGGAGCGGCTGGAGGGCCTGGGATGCTGCCTGAGGTACTTTGGACGCCGTGTGTTGGCCTTCGGCCCTGACCCTCCATGCAGAGGGCCTGGAGGGTGTGGAGGACGTCGGCTCCGGCTGCGGTCTGGGCGGCTGGCGGGAAGGAGCTTCTCCATGCTCTACTTCCAAGCTTCGAGCACCCTTCGCTATGGACTGAGGCTTCGAGTCCTTCCTCTCTCTAGGCTGCAGCAGCCTCAGACGATCCTCTGGATCAATTTCAGCGGCCAGCGAGCCGTAGGCGCGAACCAGGCGATCCACCTGGTCTTCTCCGGAAGATGTTACCTTGTCGTAGTTGGCCTGCACATTGTTCCCCTTGGGTTTGGTCTTCCGGAAAGCAAAGGGGTCCAGACGGCCTCGATTGCTCAAATCTGCTGAAACTGGGGAGATCAGTGGAATCGGTAGCAGGTACCCCTAGTTCTTTCAAGCATGCTGAGACGTTAAGGCTGCAAGACAATCCCAAAATGCACTGACGTGCCAAGCGACGGATCGGAGCCTGATAGCCCGTGATCAGGACTCGGGTGAGGCCTTGATCTGCGGGCTCGGCCCTTTCTTCCTGACACTCGTCAGGCTTCTCACCGTTGCTGCGGTCCATGTCGGCAAGTAAAGGCCAAAAGACTGCTGGAAAATCATGCTAACTGTTATGTAAGGCATTCTGTAAGCTCTTGCACGAGACCTTCAGCTGTTTGTTTGGATCTCCCAGCCAAGTCGCAGCAGGCTCTGCGGCAAGCTCCCGCAGGCCTCAGCACAAATATTTGACGTGGAACGACACTAATCGACAAGAATAAGGCCAGGAAGGATCATGGCAGCCAATCTTTATGATCCCACAAACCACCGCACGAATTCAAGCTGGCACTGCCTTTGAGTGTCGGTATGCACAAACCGTGCGACGCTCCAAATCCAACCACTACTTTCCATCGCCGACTGATTGGTACTGTCCATGCGCAAGTGCAGCTGAGGTGTGCAAAAAGCACAGCTTCAACGTGGATTCGGAGCACTTTCGATGAGGGCGGCCTTGATGCCATCTAAGATGACGCAGGCGTGGAAACTCCATGTCGAAGACTTGCTCGCACATCCGTGATCCGCGTCGGTTTTCCGTTTGAACTGGTCTTCCGTCTAACATCTGGACGTAAATGTGCAAGCTGCCTCGCTCATCAATTCTGCAACTTGTTTGTCGCACCAAGAACGTTTCCTGGATGCATCTGGATGCATACAAGCAGGAAATCTCCCCACTTCCTGGGGTTTCGCCTATTTACATTCATACTAGTCATTTCTAAGAACATCTAAAAACGCTGGCGACATATTTCCTATCAGTTTGACGGTAACTCTGCGACAAAGGGAGGCCTGGCCAGCTCGAGGACTGACGAATTTGTCTCCGCAAATATGTTCGATACACAACGGCTCTTCTAACACAGTATGAGTACAGTGTGTAGCCTGGTGTGAAAAGCACAGGTTGTAGAATCAATATTCTAGGCGGATGACCGCAACCCTGCGGATTTCAGCTGGGTTGCGCGGGTGCGTGGGGCATCCAAAATTTCAAAGTCTTCAATGACTGCAGCTGATCAAGTGGACACAAAGGAGCAACATGAAATGATCTCCTTTCCTTACACACACACACAACGGATTGAAAGCAGCCTTGGTCATCGTGAGTGCGCGCAATCGCTGCGCAATTACTGTATCAATACACACAATCCCGGGCTGGGGCTCTAGTAGCCCTAGTACAGGACCTCAAGATTCTCCCGGCGCCGGGCTTCCTGCTCAGCTCTTGCTCTCATTTTCGAGGCCATCGCCACATGTCGTTGCCCCTCGCGCTTTAAAGCGGTAGGCAAAACATAACGACCCCCTCCGCCGGTAATTTTCCGGATGAACTCCTCCAAGCGTGCTGCATAGGCATGCTGTTCTGACATCGCCCTGTCGGCTTCTTCGAGCTGAGCGTTGCACAACTTCAGCTGCCCGCGAACCTCAACCTGCCTCTGCAATTCTGCATCCATGTGTCGCCGTTCAGAAGCGGCGGTGGGGTCTTCCGCTGGGTCATCGACGGACCAATTTCCTTGAAGACGAGCTTCTAGGACGGACTGATTTTGAAGCACCATCTGCTGGACATCTTCCATCTGCTCCCATGTTTTCTTCAGAACATCTTTCAAGGATTTGGCCTCTTCGTCCTTCGCAACGAGTGCCTTGTGCAGCTCGTATTCCTCTCGAGCAGAGTCTTCCATTTTTCGCTGCTGCTTGAGCCAAGAGCTTCTGGCGTCATCGACCTTCCGCTGAAGGCCTCGCAGGAGAAGCTGGTACTGTTGATCCTGCGTTTCTTGCATCATCCGAGTGTCCTCCTCCCAAGCCAGCACCTCTCGTCTTTTGGCTTGCAGCTTCTCTTCGAGATTCTGCAAATGTATCTCCACCGCTTGCCATTGCAGAGCGAAGTCTGGAATGCAGTCGCGCAAGCGCTCCAGCTGCCTGGCCAACACGGCGATCATCCTCGACTGCACCTCGCGTTCTGGCAGATGCCGGGAGATGACCTGCTCGCATCGAATCCCACCTACCGAGCGAGGACGCTTGGAGCGAGCTTCGAAGCAACTGGATGTGCCTCGGCCTGTCTGCGGAGCCTTGGGTCCCATCCGAAGCTTTTGTTCTGCAGACCTCGGCCGAGTTTGACCACTGCCCGGCCGCTGTGGTCTAGCTGTGGCTGTGCTGGGGCCATTCCTGCTCGGCCCGCTCGATGTCTCGGCTTCGCGAGGTTCGCAAGGTTCCCTTCTCTCTGTCGTCCTAGCACTCGCATCAGCCGTGGCCGGGCCGGCGGGGGCCGGGGCCTGGGCGGCCGGGCTGGGAGTCCTGGTGCTGCGAGCACTGCGGGCAGTGAAGGACCTGCCAGCACGCATCCGCTCGATGGCCTCCTCCAACGCAGTATCCTCGCTGTAGTCTTCCTCAATCTGCAATTCCTGAGACAGGGCCTGCGGCATTTCAGGAATCTTCTGTGCGAAGTTCCGCGGCTCCGCGCCGCTGCTCATGGGACTTGATGCAGACTCAGATGCCTCTTTGCTTGCGGATGGGGGCCTGGACTGGGCCGCTGCCAGGGAGGGCGTGGCAGAGGTCGGCCTCGTGGACACCGACCACCGTGTCAAGTTCACAAACATTTCTCCGTGGCCTTGGCTTTGGAGTGCTATGTTGGCTTCGAGCATGCATTGCTTCAGTGGCATCGCAGGGGGCACAGCAGCGTTCTCCTCTCTGGTCTCCGCCAGGCTCCATGGCGCAGCCTCCATCACGACCGCGACTCTAACTCTAAAGTCCCTGTTCTACTGTGATACTTCTGTCTTTTTTGCTGTCTCGGCTGCCATGCTGCACTCGATTCGTGCGCAAGCCCCTCTAGCAACACCTGCTCTAAACTCGAGCCTAGATGGGGCTGATCGCAACATTTACTCAGCATACCGTGCTCGCTTTGCTGCGCTTTGCGACCCAACGACCCATCGCACCTGCTGGACACTGGCTCCACCAGACCCCCAATATGCTCGCAGAGTGTCGGCTTCGACGGACGAAGTCGCGACAGCAGCAGACTGCAGCGCAAGCCACCACGCAAAGACCTGCCCGGCGGTTTAGGCAGTTACCCGTGGCCCTGCCTTGGCCCTTGGCACTACCAGCCGGGCCTGAACCTCCGAGCGAAAGAGCGAGGACTTGCCTTGGTAAATTCGGATTTCGGTCGGTCCGAGAGTTCGCGGAAAATGTGCTCGGCAGCATGTAGCACCAACTTCCCAAAAAACGATCTGCCAACAAAGCAGAGTTACTCGTTCAGCTCTATACTCATAGCTCGCTCATGTTGGCCGTGCTTCCATAAGCACTGGCCCTGGCATCTTCAGCCAATCTGCGAACATGTCCCCATGGCTCACAAGACTGGAACATGTAAATTAACATGTAAATGGGAGAAACGACCCATTGAATGCGATTGCTTCTGTGCTCCTTCTTTGTAGCTCCTTAGTACGACACGCTTCTGGAGCTATTTTGGAGTGCATGATGCTTTCGCGGAGACGTTGAGCAAGACAGAAGTGGCAAGGAGTACCTTCTACGTAGTCTGTTGCGGCGACACATTGGGAAAGCAGGGGCAGCCGTTCGCCGCGGTACTGTAGGGTAGGGCGGTTGATGACCCGGCCGCTTGTGCACGGGGTATCGCAGCCTGCGGTCAGGGGCTTTTGTTTACCTTATGCGGACCAAACCAGAGCACATGACCTGCAATGTTTGCCAAATCCCCAAGCACAATAACAGAAATGCTTTCCGAGCACACATACCTCCAGCACTCGATGTGTCGGAGCCGCAAGTCACAGCAGCAAAACCGACCACCTCAAGAAGAAACCCCCGTAAGCAAGGAACTCCTCGAAATGAACGACTGTGATCCATGTATCGCCGCTTTTGCGATCGTGAGGTCGTCAGCTTAAGGACCGTCACAGCTGAAGCAACGTTCGGGCATCGCATTGGATGCCGAAAGCCTCATCGCTGACGCTCTGCGTCTATGATCTGAAAGCCCGAGAGGTAGTCCTGGTAGTTGAAGAGCCCCTCATCATCCAATTCCAGACCTCAGCAACGCCCAACCTTTTTCTATTTACTATTTCAATCCGCACGGGTCACCCAGATCCAGGCTTCCTATTACTCCCCGAGCCGAAACGGACAGCTGGTTTGTGACAAGGACCCGGCACAAGGCAAGACTGGACAACGGCCTCGGGAGTGGTTGCAGTCTTGTCTCGAGAGTGTCACAAGTCGTCTCTCGCTTCCGCGACTCCCGAAACCAACCGTGCATCTTCAAAAAACATGCAGCCCGAGAGCTGTGGAAACAGACCGAATCTGCAACCGAAACTCACTATCCCGAGCCGCCTCATGGTATCATAGCAAAATGGCTCAACGCACCCATTCCCGGCTACGGAGCGTATCCCCAAGGTAATTCAACTGCTTGCGCAATGCAGCAAGTGGCTGACCACAAGGCTCTCCAATTGCTGGTGGCTGAGACTTGGGCCATACCTTGGCTGTCATGTCTGAAAGGTAAAGCCCGTCACCAACCTGCAGATACTGTAGATCTGTAGCAGAGGGCTGGGAGGTTCAGAACCTTTCGAACCAAGAGTAGCAACACGCTGACAACTGGCTCTAGTTGCCGCCTCGCAGCGGATTCTCCGGCAAGGCTTGCAGGACTTGCTTGAACACTTTGGGACTGCAGCGAGTTTCCCCTGGTGGCAGCACCTGCTGAAAAAGACCTGCCAGAGTCCCCAAGCCATACTCGAAAACCAGCATGCTGCACCTCGGCTCTTGGCAAACGCCCATCATCCAGCAAAGTCCTGCACTGAAGCCCCAGCTAAGGGCAGAACGTGGCCTCGAGCCAGTCATCCAGCAGAACTTCTGGTGACAGCTGCCCAGGCTTAGCCGCTCCGCGGGTCTCTATGGAAAGGCACTTCACGAGCTCAACGTATCTGATCTTGCCGCTGCCGCTGTTGTCCATGTACTCGGCCAGAAGCTGCGCTTCATTCTCGGCGGCCTTTTTCAGGCTCGGTAGCCCTCGAAGCAAAGACGCCACATCTTGCACCTCGACGAAGCCAGACTTCTTGTCATCTGCTTGTTGAAAGAAGTCCAAAAGCAGGGTCGCGAGAGGCTTCTCTGGATGGGCTCCGAGGAGGTCGCGACACACGGTACCCAATCTGCTGGCAACCTCTGTCGACGTGGCGTGCTTCGGCCTGAACGCGACAGAAAATGCCCCCACAAAGTTCTGAAGCATATCTTCGCCGCAGGCCAGGGACCTGTACAACATTCGCAACAGCCTCACCGAAATGCAACAACCACTGTCGGCAAGGAAAGTTAGGAACGCTTCCGACGTCATGTCTACCGGTCTCTCCTGCAGCTCGCGCATGGACGGCTCCATGCGTAGCAAGGACCCAAATAAGCAGTTTCCAAAGGCCGTCCTCATTTTGTCTTGGCCCCTGCTGCGAAAGACCAGACAATACTTGGCAAGAAGCCGCGTGTAGCAGATGGAACCGTTGTGGAGAAGCAGGTGAGGCGAGTATTCTGTGCAGAGCTCCTGCCACTGCAATTCTGGCACAACTCGGCTGCAGCAGACGGCGAACTCCTCTTTGGAGAGCATTCGCCGTGAATCGCCATCAACGGCCCGAAACTCAGTAAGCAGCTGCCCTTTGTTTTGGACAATAACACTCAGAATCTCCAGGACAGAGCCATTAATTTTCTCTGTAACAACTTTTGATGTTAGAGTTGCTGCAGCATCCGAAGCCTTGTGGCTCACAACCTTAAAACTCTTCGCCGAACCCTTCAACACGATCGTGCCGCCCAGATTGGTGTCGTAGTGTCCACAGTAGTCACTTGCAGAGAAGATGGTGACAGTGAGGCCCTTCTGCTCAGAAGAGAGGAGCTCAAGCTTTCCTCCCGAGCCTTTGGAGCCCTGGGATGCCAAGGGATGCCACCACTCGCAGCCGCTGTCGGCGACTTCGTGCGACCGCACCAGGAGGCTTAGCTTGTGAGCCGCCAAGAATTCCGCTGTTACGTCTGGGCCGTAGTTGATGAGGCTTTTGCCACGGCTGCTCGGCCCGATGCCTGGCTCTGCTTGGGGATCAGACCATAACAGATCCGTGATGATCTGGTCCTCTCTGACACGAGGACGGGTTCTTTATCCGAAGCTTCACCATGCAGGTGCTCTTCAAAGGGCAGGCTTGGGGAAGCTCTCCTGCGGCTTGCTTTCGTTACTTAGCTTATTCGTTCTCTGGTCCTGGCGGTTCTCGGCATGAGTCTGAACCTGCAGAGGCCGTCGGATCTGCTCGATCTCATCGAGGCTGGCAGCATTGGCCGAGGATTGCCGGAAGCGCGGAAGGCCCCCGTGCACGACCAGCATGGCCTCGTCGACCACGGTCATCAGCGGAAGGCAGTCACATAGGTCCTTGAACGCTGCCTTGAGAGCCTTTGCCTCGTCGGCGGTGTACCTGCGATCGAGCTCACCATAGAAACCCTTGGCACCGTAGTGCAAAGAGTAGTGGTGATCTTCGTGGTTGCCGCGGTTCATATGCACAGCTCCAGGAAAGGCGAGCTTGTGGCTAAGGACACAGGCCCATATCTGAACTGCCTCCATGCCACCACGATCTGCGGCGTCTCCTGCACAACACCCTAATAAGGCCCTTAAGGCCCTATGACGCCTTCTGCGGGTGTCCATGCACGGAACCCCCTCCCCAGATTTACTCTTCACACTCTGGCCCCAAGCGTGCCTCTGTCGCAGATGTCACCATTGAAGAGATAATGGGTTTTTGAGGCAGTCGGCAAGCCTTCCCGCAGCCAAACATGAAGCAAGTCCTTGAGATGGCCATGGGTGTCTCCAAAGATCACCAGTTTCCCATCCCGGGGGGTCTGGATCCGCTGCACCGTCTTTTCGCCGAGGAACAACTCCCGGCTCTGCCGAGCCATGTGCAAGAGCAAGCCGCATGGAATGCTCTCCGAATACTTGTGGTGGCAATGCTCAAACACAAGCCGTGCAAACTCGCCGGTCCAGCCAGTCAGAAAAGACTGGAACTCTCGAGGCACTGCTTGCAGCGTGTCTGCCGGCCCACCTTCGGGCGGCAGCGTGGGCGCTCCCTCCGGTGCTCCTCGCAGGCCACCACGCAGGGGGTCGCCACACGCGTGGTAGAGGTAGCATGCACTCTTCGCGCTCCACACGCATCGGTATGCCTTCCACCACCCACCGGTGCCTTCTGAAGGCATGGCTTCAAGGCGTGTTAGAGCCCGTCTCCCGATGTCAACCCATCGCAGGGTCCTCCTCTCATCCAAGGTCTCAAGTCCGATCCTCGTTGAATACGAGGTCGGACAATATGTGGCCAGCGGCAGGAGATGGATGCTGTCTGCAGAAATCTTAACCTCCTGGCTGCCGGCATCAAGGAGGACGGCCAGACTGCCGTCTGGATGTACTTCTTTCACCGTGCCCAGGCAGGACACTCCACTTATGTCAGTGTGCACCACGCGACGCCCAAAGCCTAAAGGATTGGGCTCCTCAAACCGGCCAGGCTCCTCCCATGCACTGGCCCCGGCACCAGAAGAGCCACAGATGCCCATGCCTCCCCCCCAAACGCAGAGCTCTTGCAAACGTGATCTGGAGCAGAGACGTCCCAACGGAGTTTGATTCAAGTGTTCACTCATGTGCTACATTCAGACATCGGTGGCTGACCGCTAAGGCGGGAGACGAGGCTGGCAGCTGGCACCTTGCCCCGAGCGTGCTCGAAACCCGAAAACCTCTCAAGACCAGGATCTGCCAGAATGGGACTCAAGGCTAGGCCAGCACCGTTGCACGGGAATCCATATCAACACGACTAAAGAGCTGAAGTGCTCAGTCCTGACTAGATAACTCAAGCGCAGGTGCCGGGCATGCACAGGCCTTCACTGCCGTAGCCCGGTGGCACTTGCACGGGGTGCCATGCAAAAATACTTCCTCTCCTGGAATCTCCGGGTATCGGTCTCGGCTGTCCGAAGGATCCGCGTGCTGCCGAACTAGAACGCTTCAAAGCTTCCCTTCCTGGAATGTTGGAGGCAAGAATGCAAGAAGGGATCTACCTTTTTTACAAAGTGCGATCGCGGAGTCTGTCCGTCATTTTTCATTGCGTTGGCCTCTGCTAGCAAGGCTGCCACGTGCAATGGCTGCCAGCTGCTACCAGGGTTCTTTCCAAGCGCTCGGTCTCGAAGCAACCACAGCATGAATGCAAACATCTAGCGCAACAGCCACCAACAGTAACTCTCAAGGAATGAGACAGTTTACCAAGTTTACCATTAGACGAAACGAGGGTAGGAAGGATCATGATCGAGCAAGTGCTAGCCTCAGCCGTTTCGAGACTTGGAAAGCCACACCTGCACACGGATCAAAAAACCCCAGTGCAGGCACAGTTCCAATGGAGCCACTAAGAGTTCGGATATTGGCATGGGCGTCAAAGATGGGGAGCTGGCCAGCTCGACCCCTTCAGAGCGTGTTCGCCGCGCGTGGTCTCACGCAGATGCTGTACTGGACAAGTGGCATCTCTTCAGCACCTACAGTGGCAGCTGGCCGACCGGCAAAACTGTATACGGATTCTTCCCGCCACAGTGTAACCCGCCTGAATAAACTTGATAAGGGGGTAAGTGCTGAAGAGCCAGTGCTGTTGGCCGACAGCATCTGGCAATCGTCCTACAGCGACTTAAACATTCAGTGGCCATGGAAAAAAGCCACACGGATGGGAACGGGCAAGTTGCAAGCAAATTCACCAAAGTTTTTTGCGAACGGCGGCTTGCCAAGCCACGCCTCCAAGGAGTGGTAGGGAGATGGTGTGACAACAACATACAACAGTTGTGGAGATTGAAGCATCCTAGGTCCTAGCCGAGCCGATGCAGGAATGGCAATAGACGACATCTCAAGCCATATCTCCTACCAACTCCCACCGGTTTAGTTTCCACCGGCCAAACAATCTCAGCAGCTGCTTCCTCACAAAAGGCAAACCAGCGGTGAAAGGCAACGTGCTGTACAATTGAAGAAGGCACAAATGCGCCGCTGCCCTGCCTGGCCTACAGAACAATCTCCTCTTTCAAGGCTTTCCAGGTTGGCCTATTGGTGGCCTTATCGCGGTGTGTGTTGCTGCGAGGTGCGGCTGGCATTGCTTGCCTTCACTGCAAGTCATGTCCTGCTACATCAGGACAGCCTGACACCACATCGCCCTTCACAAATCAGAGATAAGCGCATGATGTGCAATGACGAAAAGAAGAAGGTGCCAAGCAGCTGAATTCGGCCCGCTAAGATGGCCAATGGCATTCCCACTTCAGGGAAGCCGCCGTTCGTTGTCCCTTTGTGCATTGTACAATCATGCATCATGATTTCGGTACAGCTTCTCGCACGCGGTCGCAGCTGCCTCAGATGCACACGACACTCCCAGCTGTGATGACGAGTGGAGAAAAACCCGAAGAAAGGCCTGCTGGCATACTGACAGGGCGGAGACCATTACTATTGCGATAACCACCGCTCCCACTCTCGAGCTTGGGCCAGGACTCTGACAATTTTCTCACTCTGAGGCATTCAATCGAAACATCCCGAGTTTCCAGCGTTTGCTGCTGGCCGCTTGCTCAGTGAAGCAGATAGTACCTTGTGGGTCAGGTTACGGTGTTGGGGGCGCTGTTGCCCCTGGATTGCTCTCATCAGGCTAGCCAGCGTCACAGGGTCTAGTGGGCAAACAACTGCTGCCCCTGCGTTCAGGTTGGCCAGTGTCTCAGCGGCCAGTGGGCAAATAACTGTTGCCCCTGCATTCAGGCTGGCCAGTGTTCTCAGGGTCCAGTGGGCAAAAACAGTTGACTAAGACCGCACTTTACCGAAACGGCTGAGAAGAGCACAAGCGAAGTGCCACCCACGCATCGAGGGCCTAAGGCGGGCGTAATGTCCACACGACCTCCCTTGCCTGTCAGAGAACGAGTGTTCCGAAAGTTGACTTCGAAATCTTGGCCACTCAAGGATGCCTTCAGCTTCAATACGTGTCCCTCGTGCCATGCGAAGTTTGCCCATGACTGCTTATTCACCCTTTGTCACTACACGCCACGAAAACCAACTCAGCCAGCTGCTGCGTAGTGGACTTGTTCCGGCCTCAGAACCATTGCAAAAACGATGGCAGTGGCAGGGGTCGCAAATCGAAAAAGCAGCAACAATCAACGGGGACGGCGACGCCGCAACAAGAAGAACAAGGAGGAGAAGAAGAAGAAGAACGATTGAAGGACAACGACGATTGTATTATCACGGCGGCCAGCAGCACCCTGTTGCATCGAAAGCGCCACTGTCTGGAAGGGTTCGGGTGGATTGACTCTGTTCGATGCACAGACGCAGCTCGGCAGATTTCCGAAACTTGCAGTCTGCTCCCCAACTCGTCTCCGCAGGCCCGCACGTCAAATGCTCGCTGGACCAATCCGAGCAGGCACATCTCTTGTCCTGCGAGACGGGGTGGAGCCTCACAACCTCCCTGCAAGTGGTCAGACTCCCTGGCTCAAGGCGCAACACAGGCTGTTGCTTGCATGCAAGGGGGCTTCGTAGGCAACCCGAACCAGAGCCCCACTACTTTCCTTCAGAAGCTCACAGCGGAGGAGGGTGCTGGCAGCGCGCCGCAGACTCAGGGACCTGAGAGACGAGATGTTCCACAACATAGGGATCTGCCCGTCTCTGACGCAGTCCACGCTTAAGGATCTTAAGGTATCAAAGGCTGCAGATTCTGCAGCTTGTGGATGATATAATAATATAGTTCTGATGCCGCTTGGCTGAGGGGTCCGGTCTCGTCGAGGAGCCATCTGTAGGCTGCCAACCTCTGATAATAAACCATTGCCTGCAGACTGGTGCGGTTCTACCGTCATGGGTCGCAAATCATATATGTCATGTAGTCATACATATATAATATATATATATATATATATCATGCTGCGGGTTGTGTGCACCGATTCCTCAAGAACTTCGTCGGAGAAGACGAACTCTCCCTTCCTGATCCTGAGGAGTGCGCTGCTCAGATCCCCATGCCAAGCCCATTCGACTGGCACACCTGGGATTCATCCATGACGGTGGAACTGCACAACCAGTCCAGGCAATTTTTCTCAGGCGAGGACGTCTCCTGTACATCCACAACAGAGCCCTGGCAAGCTCTGAAGCGTGTTCCGAGCTGTCAAGCGGCCGGTAGCATCTCAGCTCATTACTAGTGGTGAAGCAGTTTAGGAACAAAGCACCGAGCCCCACCTGTGTCACAGCAATGCCCGTTCGCATCAGCTTCTGGGCATCCTGAAGTTCCGATGGGTGAAGCGGTCATGAGGACTTCTCTAGTAGCCGAATGCCAAAGTGCCCCAGTGAAAGGCCGTGGCACTGCGACGGCTACGAGAAACTGGGTGATGCAAGTAAGTTAGTAAGTTGCAGCATGTATGTGGCCCCTCGCCCTGCACTAGGTTATGAAATCGCTTTTGCCAAAGCTCCGAGAGAGACTTGCTATTTCGATGCACTGCTCTGGGCAGCGTTTCGTCATTCGGACAGGCCTCAGACCCCTGTACTTGTCGTCAATCCGAATCAAAGACCCTCGTGAAGCACGCCCGGTAGGAAAGCATGACTCTTCACATCCATCCCGAACAGCGCCTTAGAATTCACCGCGAAGCCCGCTTTCAGCACCTCAGTACAATGCGAGCCGGCACTTCACCAGAAGCTCTGGGAGTAGTTCTGCTTTGTGTTCCGTGTAACAAGTGTCCCTTCCGGAGCGCCTCTGGTGCATCTCTGCACCTTTGCCAGAAGCTGAGATGCCTGCATCTGGGTTGACGAGCATGAGCTGAACTTCCTGTCACGTGCATGCTCCCCGAGCCCATGCGCTGTGTTGTTGCGTCGCCAAGATACGATCAGTTTCATGCTGAAGGGACATATGTTTGCAAAGTAGTCTATACAAGTATCGCATGTGTGTGAGCGCATGTCGCCGAGACGGGGCGCTAGGCTTCGGAAGGTTTGCTAGGCCTGCGGAAGCTTCTTGCCCAAAGGGCCGAGCTGCACCACATAGACCTGGGCTGGACGCAGATCCTCATTCTGTCCCGCTGAGTGGGCGGGCACAATAAAGGAAATCCTTTTTTATGTTTTGCAGGGTTGCTGCTGGGTCCAACAAAAACAAGGATGCAAGATTCGGGCACTTGTTTTCCCGCAAAACGCCGAAATCGTGCATCAGGCTGTTGCTCCAGCCAGGTCCCAGGTTCGC